ATATATATACATATATATACATATATTTTTTTTTTCAGATTCTGATTTTTTCCCCCTGAATTCTAGGTTCTCCCATAGTCTGTACGTTTTAGTAAACAAGAAACTGATATGGTTGGCCTATTGAATAAGCCCAGGCATTTTTTAGAGGGTTATACACATTTCTGAAATTCACAAAACATCAATTTTTAATACATCTACTCTCTCAGCTCCATTAAAAGGATGGTAGGGGAAAGATTTTAGAGTAATTAATGATATAGTTAGCTGCTAAATATTAATAGGAATCGTAGTCTTGCATAAAATATAACGTATAAACCTTGCCAATACAGACGCACCAGTAATTAAAGTTGAATATGTAATTACACTGATTAATATGACAGGCAAAAAGTTACACTTTACTGGTTTCTATGTAAACTGTGGGTAACAGTTAAACTTTGCATTTTATGGTTTATAAAAATGGGCAATATCTTGACTACAGTTCATAAATGGTTTAGAGACCTGCAATAGTAGTAAAAATTATGCCAACTTGCTCCATCATAAATATTCTTACTGCACCATGCAAACCAAACTGTGATAATGATCCATAAGATATAGAATCATCTTAGGCACTGCTTTACATCCCAAAGAATGTTCGTTGTATTAAGAATTTGTAGAGAACTGTTACTACAATAATTATGGGACATTGGAGAGATTCTAAAGATTCTTAAATTTGATTTGGACACACATATTCACATCATGAACATGGTGCAATTTAGCTCCACTTAAACGTGTACTTTTTACTTATACATCATTCGAATCTTCAGAAGAATACTCAATTTTAGGGGCCTGTGAATATAAGCTGTTCCTTTTATGGAGTCTGCTAACCACACTTACATGTGTGGCTGAGGCGAGCAGCCCGGACTGCTGTTCCCGTTGCTGTCCATGTGGTCCAGGGAGCCGTTGAGATCCTCGTGGACAGCCTGCAGGAGGCCGCTGGAGGCGTTATTGATCAGGCCGGGGTTACTGAGCAAAGGCAAACTGCTCTCCGCCAACGCAGCCTGGTGACATGAAGAGGGTGGAAAACAGCTTGTGTAATGCTCCTTAGAATATTTTTAAAAACATAAACATTCCTTTAATGGGTTTGAATCACGGTGTGGATGTTTTAGAAGCATGTAAATAAAACGCACGGAAGGACAAAGATTTCCAACGGGCAGCTTGTGGCAGAGATACCAAGAAAATGAACTGTGATATGAAAATATGGAGGAATCGTTCTCCCTGAAAACTTTTTTACTCATGTGCTAGCCTTCCGCATAATGAAATGCTGTATCCTCACTTGTAGCGAGGAACTCCGAGATAATATAAGCAGCTGCTTGGCTTTTTAAAAATGACCAGAACTTAACTCAAAATAAAGAAGTCCTGGCATTTGCCTCCTCTGCATAAAAATTATATATTATAATTAAACTTTAAAGTTTTTGCCACAAGCACCATGTTCCCCAACACTATGATGTGAAATCATTTATGACAGCCTGGATAAATATTAATGCATAGCCACATGCATTTGCAAAAGCTTCTATCAATCTAGCATTTGCAGGAAAACCGAGTATTCCAGATTTTGCCACAGGGTGTCCTTCTTGCTTCTTCACATCAAAAGTATCTTGAATTAGAATCAGTGCTTTCTACAGTGCTAGGTACTACAACTTACTTAGATGATAAACCAACTATCAAGAACAATCACACCCCGCCTATAAACAAAGCCATGACCAAAAAGAAAAGAAAAAAAAAGCCAAAACATTCTAATACAAGGACAATGGAAAGGGGCATTTAATGCTATTACCTGCAAACTGGCATTAAGAGCTGCTCCATAGCCTAAACTGGTAGGTATATTTTTTACTAAGGTTGGGCTTCTGGAAGAAAAAATATATAAAGATGATTTTTTAAGTTAAAATAGAAAATACTGGATGTTAATAATCTCAGGTGAAAGCTATGTTATGACCTGTTTGTTCCCACTGCTAGGCCAGAGGGGATGGCTCTCAGGTCAAAGGAATGAGGTTATAGAGTTCAAATACATAATTCTCTATATATCATATAGTAACTTGGTCAAGGAATATAAAGAATGAAATTTAGACTGTTGTGGTCAAGCAAATGGAAGCATGACCTGTTTCTAGCGACGTGAGGTTTTATTTCCCCCCCAAACCCCACATTCCTATAACATTTTAAAAATATAATATACAATACAAATACCAATCTGATGCAACCAGGAAATAATTAATGGTTAATTTCTAGAACATTATGAATTAACATAAAAATTACCATAGTTAATTAAGTGACAACATAATGGATTAACTATTTCTTGAATACAGAAATGAGGGCATACTTGACTACAGAAACCAAAAGCGAAGGGCCCATAGTAAATAAAATACATTCAAGTCATGTCTTCACAGAAGGCAGCAGTGGTTTGGGGAGCGCGGAAGTGCTACATGGAGTTAATTCATTAGGCACAAAATGTGTTATATTTCCGACTTATGTTTGGCAGTCTTGTTCTCTAGATAAATAAATATTGATTCAAACTTCCCAGGCAGTCCTTTGCTCACACTGCCATAGCCTGATCATCTCAGCAGTGAAGAGGTAGCTGGCATGGCTGGGGGGACAGCAGGGTGGGACCAAGTATTAACGTTCAGGCTGGAAAATAAAGAGTACTTGAAAAACAAAACAACTAGTTTTGTAATAAAACCTTTTCATAAATTCTTTATGGCAAGGCACTTTCAGGAATACCAGTGTCTGCAAAATTAGCGTTATTTAAAAAGACCCTTTTGTGCTCTCTGAGAGGTGATAGCATTGTGTAAAAACATCAGGTGTCTCCACTTAGAAAGCATGCTCTGCCCTGGAAGATATATATATATTTTTTAATACAGATAGAATGCTGAATTGGTGAGAACAGTCACCAAAAAGTTTTGTGATAATTTTTATGGAAAAAAAAATTGGTGGGATATTGTTAATTTATGCCATTTACGCCTAGATTCAAAAAGCAGTTCGCTGACAAGGAACTGTTAGCATACCATTAGCTAATCCTCTCCTCACCCCAACCCCCAACCTGAAGTGTTCACTTTTACTGGAGGATGCAGGATTACAAAACCATCACAATCATACCCTGTTATCTTTTGTGACCTTCGCTTCTGGTACTCTACTTCATCCACAGTCCATACTGCTCCTTTAACATTTTCTACTCGAACAAAACATTTGTGCAGGCTAAGATTATGACGTACTGCATTCTAAATCAGACAGAAGAGGGGGAAAAAGCGGCAAAAATCATACCTCTTAATAAGGCAGCCAGAATACTACATTATTGATCTTACTTAATCAGAGAGAAAAATGTTTAAGTACTAAATCAAAATATGGCATATTCTAAACCCCAAACTTACAAATTACTGGAATCTGCAGTTTGAACTTTGTGATAAGAGAACCTTCCAAGCTATTTTAATAATAGCTGTGTCAAAACCTTCCTTTCATTG